GAGACATCAGAAGATGGTGGAAAGAATACACAGAGAATTAAGGAACCACAAGACTTGGTTGACATTCAATCATTTCAGGAGGTAGCACATGATCAAGAACAGCACAGAAGGATAAAGTACAAGCTGCACTGAAGGCACTGGCAAAAAGCCAGGTTCCAGGATTGGACGGAATACTAAGTGAGATGTTCCCACCAAGGATCTCACATTGGAAATGGTCACTCATCAATGCCAAGAGATTTAGAAAAATAGTTAGAGGGCCAACCAACTGGAAGCGATCCATATCTGTGCCCATTTTCCAAAGGAAGGTGATTCAGCAAAAGGTGGCTATCATCCAACAATAGCACTAACATCACACGAAAGTAAACTTTTGCCGAAGATGTGTCAAAAATGTTTGCAGCAATACTTGACAGGGAGCTGCCAGATAATCAAGTCAGGTTCAGAGAAGGTTGTGAAAGGAGGGATATTGCTCCTGATGTCAGATGGATGTTGGCTGAAATCAGAGCAAACCGAACGATGGTTAGCTGCGTGTTCTTGGCGATGCACAGGCATTCGAGTGTGTGAATCATAGTAACTTACGGATAACATTGCCAAGAATGAGAATTCCGGAGCATTTCATCGAGTCCCTGTGGAACCTGCACATAGACCAAAAGGCAATTTTAAATCGGGAAAGGTACGTGGGGGTTGTGCCCTTTCAGGATATTTATTCAAACTGTACGTTGGACAAAGACTCTAAGAATCTGGTGGGAGGAGGCCTCCTTCACAAGGTGTGAAGTGTGCAGATGACACAACCTTGTCTGCTAAAAGCAGGAGAGGGAAGCACGTACTGATGAAGATCGAAGACTGCAGCCTTCGGTACGGACTACACCACAACTGAGGAACACGAACAGCCTCACGAGCAGACCAACAGCGAGAGAAACGACAAAGTTGCTGAGGGATTCCTCTTCCTTGGGGCCACAATCAGTGCTCGTGGGCGCAGCTGTCAAGAAACGGAACTGTGCATTGCCTTGGGCGTACCTGCTACCAAACACCTCTTCAAAATTAGAGAAAGCCAAGAAGTCACGTTGAGGACTAACGTACACCTGATCCAAGCCGTGGTATTGTCAGTGTTCCCTTATGCTTGTGAAAGCTGCTGCTGCTGCTGCTGCTATTGTTGTTGTTGTTGTTGGGTGCCTGGGAGTTGGTTCTTACTCGTCGCCATCCTCGACACGAGAGAAGGAAACACCACCGGGCGCTGTGCATCCTCACCATTGCTCCCACGCGTGAGCCCATCGTTGCGGCCATGGTATATCCATCCATCTCCTCGGGGGCCTGCCTTTACGTTGCGGCCCCTCCACTTGACCAAGCAGGACGTCCTTCTCCAGGGACAGGCCTCTCCTGACAACACGTCCAAAAGATGTTAGAGCAAGTCTCACCATCCTGGCCTCCAGGGAGCACCCTGGCCTTAGTTCGTCCGAAACAGGGCGGTGCGTTTGTTCTTTTTGCAATGACTAGTAACCCCAAACCAACTCCTGACACATGGTGATGGGGAACGAATAAAGAAGACCCAATGGGATTTGAATTACGGTGTGAATGAACAATATTGGACATGCCAGGAGCTGCCAGGAGAGCAAACGCGTACGAAAAATCCTCGCCGCTGGTATTTTGGACAGGTTATCCGAAGGGGCTTGTCCCTCCAGGGACATCGTGCTCGGTAAGGGAGAGGACTGAGGAGGCGGACTGACACATGGCAGTAAGAAAGGGCTCAAACAGAGGGGCAATTGTGAGGAGGTGCAGGACCCGGCAGGGCTTCTCCTGGTTGTGCGTGGGGGTCTCCGTGAGTTGGAACCTACGTGGTGGCATCTCACAAGGACTCAAGTGGCTTATTCTTATGCAGTAGACTTTTAGCCTTGTAAAATGCCAGTGCCAATCTGCTCAAGGCAATTTGCCACACGGACACCAATCTCTGGAACACGAGATTCTCCGGCAGCGGGTGTTTCACTCGTCTCCTTTATTTTTGAATGACTCCCAAACTTGGCCTTGCTAGGGTCCCAGCAAGGAGCCTGTCCTCGGGCAGCTCTCATTGCAGGGCTGCCTTTACTTGGCACCAGTACCATCTCCTCAGCTCTGTCGTGGTCTCAGCCCCCACAGAGCCGCAAGCTGACAGCACAGGGGAGGACATGCAAATAGGCCCTAAAAAAGGCTTGCTATTTTCACGGCCTAGATGGTATACGTTTGTGGGGGCCTGTGAGGACAGGACGTCACTGTCAGGTACTGGGCATATGGCACCAATTTGGGGTGTCTGCGAAATGTAAAAATACCCAACCCAAATAAAGGCCTTCTCCTCCCTCAAAAGGAGACACCTCCAGCGCCTGTTGTGAAGGGAGGAGGGGGTGATTCTGCACCCCACCCCCACGGGCAAATCCTGGCAGGGCCAGCACTCGCCCAAGGTGCCTGCCTCCTCATCAACACCACGGCCCTGGCACCCCAAGGAGACGGTCCGCCGGTGGCTTTCAGTGACATTATTACTACAGAGCAGCTGAGAAACGCAGCTTTCCAACCAAAGACAGAAAGACCAACCCCAAACCCCAAATCACTGCCATCGGGTTGATGCTGACTCATCGCGACCCTACAGGACAAGATAGAGCCGTCCCCCTGGGAGTCTCCTAGACGGTAACTCTTTACGGGAGTAGAAAGCCCGTCTTTCTTCCTCGGAGTGGCTGGTGGTTTCAAACTTCTGACCTTGTGGCTAGCAGCACAACTCGCAACACTACGCCACCAGGGCTCCTTCAGAAAGCCCATGAACTAAGCCAGGACGCACTGTGTGGGTTTACAAACTCCACTCAGAAGGCTAGAATTACAGCCGCTCTCACCTCATCACCGTCCCCAGTGAGCAGCTACACGATGCACCTAAGCCAAGTGTCTTGAGTTCAGGTGGGTACAGTTCAGGGAAAGGTAGTGGCTGGGGCTAACCACAGTCAAAGCGAGATGACAGTGAGGAACGGGGGCATGCAGCGAACTGGAGAGAGACAGGACACCGCGCAGTGCAGTCTGCAGCGACCCTCTGCAGGCCGCTGAGCTGCTGCCACACCAGAACAGGGCACTGTGAAGATTGTGGGGTGTTTTCTCCCATGTATATGTACCCCAAGTCCCTCCTTGGAACCTCTAGCCCTCCCGGCTCCATCCTTAAGGAGAGCGAGATGGTGGGGCAAGAGGAAGGTAAAAGGAATCAGGAAAGATCTAGGAAGAAAAGCTCTGGATAGAGGTATAAACATAGGTGTGTACATATGTAAGTATAATAACTCATAAAAATAGAGGTATTGGCCTATGTATATCTACATATATTTATATGGCAATACATTGAGGTAGTGGATGGACTGTGGGCGTCAGCTCAAACCCTCCCTCAATGAAAGAACACTTTATTCTAACAACCTGGCATTCTGTGATGCTCACTCTCCTTGCATGATCAATCACTGAAGACAAAATGGGTGCACATGCAAATGTGATGAAGAAAGCTGATGGTGCCTGGCTATCAAAAGATAGGACATCTGGGGTCTTAAAGGTTTGAAGTTAAACAAGCGGCATGTAGCAGAGAAGCACAAGCCCACACGGACAGAGCACACCAGCCTGTGCGATCATGAGGGATCAGGCAACAGGCATCAGAAGACCCCAAAGAACCAAACAAAAACATTGTTGAGAAAGAGGGAGGCCGGCGCAGGGACCCAAAGCCCATCTGTAGACAATGGGACATCCTCTCACAGAAGGGTCACAAGGAAGGGAGGAGTCAACCAGGGCACAGCATAGCTCTGATGAAACACACAATATTCCCCTGGTTCCTTGAGGCTTCCTCACCCCCCACTCTCAAGACCCCAGTCCTGTCGTTCACTCAGGGCTAGACCGGAGCATGAGCACTGGTACAGATAAGAGCTTATGACACATGGAACCCAG